CTGAGAATTTAAGAAGATTTGGGGCAGGTTCAGATAAAGCCACTGGTCACTAGATCCCTTAACAGACTATTATGAGAAACTGACTATTTTGGGACTGCCCTAACTTTCAGGGACATCTTTAATCACTTGAAGCTGACATTCTGACCTAGGGTGACCAGATCCTCAGTGCCCCCACAGGATTCATAGATTGCCCCCCTGGGACATTTCTGGTGTCCTTAGGTTATGGGAGAGCCTGGATTCAGGAGCTGAGCTCTGTCTTCAGAGCAGTGATTACCCTCAGAAAGGAAGGAGGAGCACCTCATCCTTGAGCACTTTCTCATAACTTTTCAAAGGAAGTAAGGTGGCACTTGTAAGTGCAGGGATAAGCCTGGAAAGGTCCCAAGGTGCCGAAAACACACTGTCCCCTTTGCTATGAGTAAACCTATAACCTCCTGACCACATTCTTTCCTGCTGCTTCATTCTCCCTGGGGTCCTAGTCCAGGGAGTGGGGCCTGGGGGAGCTGATCAGAATAGTTCTGCAGTGTGTCCAGCAAGGAGCTTGGCCTGACCCCTTTCCTGGGGCCAGACTCTGGGACCCTTTCCCAATTTCCTGTCTCAGATATGCTGACCAAGCACAGGCCTTCCTCCTTGGTGGGGATAGCTGGTCGCAGGCCAGCAACCCTCAAGAGTTGAGTCACTCAATGTCTTTCCTTCCTCAGCCTTCCATCCTGCTGGAACCTCAGATAGGAACTCCTGTCTCTGAGCATGTCTACTGAAAGCCACAGGATGGCACATTAAAGGCGCCTTTCACAAAGACCCACATGGGCTTGGTTTCTCTCCAGGCCAGTGATTTCCTTCCCAGTCACCTAAAGAGCTAATATTTATTCTCTCTAAACTGACTTTTCTGCATCTGCAGGGGCCTTGCTGAAACTGTTGGTAATATACAGAGGGCATGGTATAGCCTAGGCCAGAGCCCTCGCACCTGAAACCACCACGCACCAGTTGTTAGGCAGCTACCCAGCAGTATCTTCTGCATTGATGTAGGCAGTTCTAACATGATAGCTTTATTCTTCTGGAATATTTGCTATTATTTAAGTAATAGTAGTGTTGCTTGCTTTGACTAGCACTTCACAGTTTACAAAGTGCATTCATTATTTTAAGGCTCACAAACTTTATGAGATGGCTTGGGATAACATTTGTGTCTTTGCTTACATATGGCTTTCCCAAAGTCACATGCTGCCCAAGAGGAGAGCTGGGTCTTCTGGTCCCCAGTCCAGGGAGTTCTGCTCAATCCCATAACCACCCTTTTTGATTTCTGCACTTCACCACAGGGAAAGGTAGGAATAGAGAGAACTGAGTGTAGTCATGTTTAAGGAAAATACTTGCTCTCCTTCTTGACTTGGGAAGTCTGTCCTGGCCCCTGCTTCCCTGATCAACAAAGCCCTGAGGATTTTGCATAGCAGGATACCATCCTAGTTGGCTTCCATGAAGGGCAGAGCCTGCTTTCCCTACAGGCCTCCCACAGTCTTTGCCTGTGGACATCTTTGTGTAGGACCAGCAGCCCTGAGGTCTTGCTGGGCTCAAGACTGTACTATTGAGAACAGCTTATTTTTTTGTCTCACCTCAGACACCTAACAAACTAAAAAGTGCATGATGGAATTAATGGACACCCAGAGTCTCAACAGCCCATAGGAGTCATTTGCACATAACCATTCAAGGCCCCTCTAGAGCATCACTGATCAGAGTTTGTCCAGGTCCTGCTTAAATGTCTCTTGTACTGAGAAGTTCACTACTACTGAATCCAGCCCTTGCTGAGATACAGACTCTAACCTGGTCTTCCACAAACCCTGGGTGCTGCCATGGTTATTTTATTTTGTCCTTATAGTCTATCCATTTGGGAAACTGAGATTCAGAGATTAAGTAATCTGCCCAGAGTCATATGAGGAAAGATTTCTTCTTTCCAAATTTCACACCTTCTTATTTGCTTAAGAGATACTTTTTATTCTGTTATCGTGTGCCTTAAAAGAGGTGACTGGAAGTGGTGACGGTGCTTTTTCATGAGGCTTGGGCAGCTGAAAAAGCAGAAGACTTGAATTCCCTCATGGAGACACTGCTATACATCCAGCCACATCAGATTTTGGCAGCAGCATCACAAACTCTGAGCTTCCAGTCACCTTACAAACCCAGGCTTGTCCATGTTTTTTTCTTACAGTGATCTAAAGCCGTTTCCTCTTCCTTTTTATGTACAGCTTGGTCACAAGCACTGAACTTCACATTCTTACCTGTCTGAGTCAGTCTTCCTGAGAGAAACTGCTGCTCAATCTGACCATGGACTGCTGCCCCAGGCTGGCTACAGGCCAGACTTTGGCAGTGACGCCTCAGCGGCCAGACTTGCATGGAATTTGGCATCCCAGGAGGCTCTCTGTGACTAGAGACAGATCCCATGGTAGCCAGACCCACAGGGAATAGGCCTCAATTCCTAGCAGACAGCAAGCTTGTGGGAGGAGCCAGAGTGTCTCTCAGCCTGGCAAGGGATAGTCCTTGGAGACTGCCCTCCAGGCCTAGCATATCCCTGAGAAGTCTTAAGTCCACAACCTTGGTGGAGTCAGGATAGGAGACATTCTCCAGCCACTGTCAAGGGTGACCAAGGACATTCCCAGGCTCTAACACAGAGCTCTGAATAGGGCAGTTTCAGTCTCACGTCTTTTGAGTATGTCACACATGTATTTCTTTGGCTGAGAACAGCCAGGCCCAACTTGCATATAGGATCACCACTTTGAGTGGATCTAGGAGTGCCTGAGTTTGTTCATTGAAGACTTTCAAGATTTTTTTCTCGAATCCTAGCTTCAGGGTTAGAATAAATCTTAGTGTTAATTTTATTTACCTCTTATTTATTTATTTGCAGTACCAGGGATTGAACTCAGGACCTTGTGCTTGCCAGGCAAGCGCTTATTCTATTGAGCCGTCTCCCTAGCCCCCTTACCTCATATTTAGTGGAGGAATATTCTCTGCAATATCTTTGCCAGGTAACCCTCTAGCCTCTACTTAAACACACCTGTCTTCCAAGCCAGTCAATGCCCCTGCTTTTACAATGAAAAGCTTTCCATGTGGATGACAGTCTGCCTTCCTGGAGCTTGGGCCCACTGTCCCTGGTTCTCCTGTCTTGCTGTGTGATCTCTCTGAAACACCAGTCCTTGGAGGACAGCATCATTAGCTGTTCTTGATCAGCATCTGTGTCCTTTCACTGGCAACCCTCAGCATATTGCAGTGAGGTTCTTGGGGAGGAGACTGGAAAGAACCATTCTATTGGCTCTAAAGCTGTCTTTTGCTGTCCTATATCTGAGTATCTGTCTCAGTGAGAAGTCATGATGTAGATGGTGTGGCCTAGACTAGAAAATAAATTGTAAGGTCAGGATAGTAAGGCACAGGTATGTTTAGGACATAAAAAATAGAGAAAGCTGAAAAGGTCCATTCAAGCCATGCTGAAGCAATCAGGGAGGCTGATAAAATAGTACCTAACTCATAAAACCACTATGAGGTCTGAGGGTGATATAGTATAAAAATGCTCCTCTACTGGCTGACACACAGGAAGCACTCTATAGGTATTAGCTCTAAAGTACCTAGAGAAATTAAGTGGCACAGGCAGGGAAGGTAGTCATGGAGAAGACAGATTGGAAAGAGAAGAATTAGGCTGTTCTAGTCCAAGAGAGAAATAGAGGTCTGCCTAGGTTGATACAGAAGCTGGTGAATCTTGGATGTCAAGAGGAACAACTGAAGCACCTTGATAGCTTTTGGGTGGAGTAGCCCATGGCCTGCTCACTGAGTAAGAGTATTACAGAGTCAGGGCTTGGGGCCAGTCTCCTGGATCCTGTGACAGTACTTGGGAGTGTTGGTTTATGGCTGTGATTTGCAAGTGGTTGGGGCAGTTTCCAATGCTCTTCTTGAGTAGTTTGAAACAAGGCTGTTGGTAAAAGATGGTAAAACTGGAAAGAATAGCACTACTTTTGGTGGTGGGGCTGAAAAGAGGCCATAATAGACAGGAGGGAAGATGGATGACCAGAATCAAAGCCCTGGAAGAATGAAGACAAGAGAAGGTGCAGTATTTAATGGGAATGTGGGAGGGCATCACAGGGAGAGGGCACACGGTGAATAAGTGGGACCCCCTTCATGCCCACCTTTGGAAGTCTTTTGGTGACATCGTCATCCACACACAGGGCACGCTTTAGGTGCCATAGACTGTTTTCCTTTGCTGAGGTCAAGCTCCAAGTGCTCCCTGCCTTTAACACAGATGGGAGACAAACTAAGTCACATGCTACTTTGATCCTGTTGAGACAGATGCAGAATCCTAGGTAGGATTCTGGGAGGAGAGGAAGCAAGGGTCTGGAGCCCTGTCTGGCAAATGTGATAATGCTGTTTCAGAAAGAAAACAGCTTGGCCTTGAGCACTTCATAGATGTTAACATCTTGCTCCCTCCTCCTGGGGAAGAACAATTCTGGGAAACACATGGCTGTCCACTCTCCAGTCCCTCCCCATGGGGGAGTCCCTGTCCAAAGAGTGGATTAGACCCCAGGCTCAGAGCAGACCCCTTGTGTTCACTGCAGGTGAGAAATGAGCTTCATGTAGTCTGGTTACTGGCTGCAGCCACCGCTTCCCCTGCACCCAACCCTGTCTCTTGAGCTAGTACTGAATCCCCTTCCATTTAGCAAGCCAGGCCTGTAAATGTGTGTAGGACCTGGACATTAGGTGGGATCCCAAGAAGAAACCAGGTGGAGTTGGAAGATTCAAAGCTTGTAGAAAAAAACAAGCCTGAGAGAGTCAATGAGGAAGTGGTACATGGGTCTTGAGGCATGTGTGGCAGTGGCAGTGACCCACCTCACCCAGCCACAGCCTGAGGCCTGGGGAAAAGCACAAGGTCATGACAAACCCCACAGGAGCACTGCAGCCCAGCCATGGAGCCACAGAGTTTCTCTATGGCATTCACTCAGAGTTTTATTTTTATCTCTTGTATTTTTGTCTTCCAGAGTGGAACACTCAAGGACCCGGACTCAAGCAAGACCCCACCTCAGCGGCCACCCCCCCAAGGTTGTTTACAGTACATTCTCGACTGTAACGGCATTGCAGTAGGGCCAAAGCAGGTCCAGGCTTCCTAAGTGATTGCTAGTTCTTTTATCAAAGCAGAAATTTTAAGCCAAAAAAAAAAAAAAAAAAAAAATCAAGGAAAGGAAGGAGCGCAGGAGGGAGCGGCGGCCCTGCAGCCCGTGGCACCCCCACGCTGCCTGGACTGTTTTCCTATGCAGTGTCAGCCCGTGGGGTTCTTCACCTGTTCCTGTCTGTGCTTGTAATGCGCACTCTCGTTCCTCTGTGTAATCTGTGATTCCAGGGCTGTGTGTCAACAGTGTACTAAAGAAGTGTGCCTCTCCCTGCCTAGTGTGACTGTCTTCTGGGTGGCTTGGTAGTGTTTTTAAAGCATTACATAATGTGGGTAAGCTAGGAGCACAGGGATGGACTGGGGAGAAGAAAAAAAAAAAACAGAAAATAAGATCCAGCTCCCCTCCTCCTTGAGGTTCAGATGAATCCCCCACCTCCGTGAGTGTGCTTTGGACCTTCAGTGAACTGTGCTTTTGCTTCCTTTCTGCATGACTCGGGTAAATAGATAGAACTCTAAGAGACATTCAAGGTCTAATTGCCATTGCTTCATCTATTGAATTTGAAGGCATCTACCTTTTTTTCCACTTGCTGAAATTTTTGGTGCGGTTTGACTTTATGTGAATAGGCTGGCTGTACCTGTACAGCTCTTGTGTTTTTAGTGATGAAATACAAAGAACAAACTACTTCCAGGAATGTGTTCTGTATTTCACATCCCAGTGTACCCTTCGTTTTCTTTATTAACTAATTAGCTGTGAGATTAAACAAACAACAGACAGCAGAAACCCCATGGGGCCGCCAATGTGCAATATCCAAGTGAACTTGTAACTTGTGCGTTCATTTCAGTCCCCTGAAGTTGTTCCTTCCTGATTGCTGTTTCAGAACCAGCCGTATGTGTGCCTCTGGGGAACTGGGGCTGCTTCGTGTGCCCTAGAGCTTGGCCTATGCACAGAGATGATTCTTTAGTAATCTTGAGCCTAGAATGTAGGGAGCTGCTTAAAGTCTGGAAGTATTTGAGCATTCCTGAAGCATCATTACATGAGAGTAAATTGGAAATGCCCGTGGCACCCACGTGGGTGTACTGCCTGCCTGCTGAACCCTGAGGGTTCTCTCTTAACTGCTGCTGTGGTTCCCCAGAGGCCCAGGATAAAGGGCTCTCTGAGGAGAGCCATCTCAGATGTAGCATCTATGTGTGTTTTAGATAGAGGCCTTCAGCTTGAAGAGCCCTCAGCAGCCTGTTCTCTCTCCTCCAGCAAGCAGCACATGGCAGGAAATAAATCAGGGCTCAGGGGAAGTGCCTCATCTTGCCATCTCTGGGCAGGGCTGGGGACAGTTACCAGGCAACCTTCTCTAGCACCATGGCCTGCTGGAGTTCATACCAGCAGTTGGCCTTTGAGAGGAAATGCTTTTGGCTGTCCTTTTACATTCCCTTCCCTCTGTACTGCCATGGCCCCACTCCAGAGCATCAGAGCTGAGGCACAGGCAGTGTTGGTAGTGTGTAGCATGAGTGCCATACCCAGGGGAATATTCCCTGCTTTTTCCTCAGGTTGCTGGCAAATTCTGAGGCCACAGAGAAGTGTATAGTGTATGAGTGTCCTGGCCTCTGGCCTCACCCTTAGGTGGCAACGGCAGTCGGTCTGCTGTGAGAGCTTCCGTATATGAACTTCCAGGTCCTTGCGTACCTCCCAATCAGATGAATGATAGAAGGGAATGAAGTGACATATTTCAGAATGGAGGAATACATTTTTGTTGTTGTTTTAAATTTCTTGTCAAGTGGTGAGCTGATAATGAGTGGTGTTGCTTCTCTGCATGTTATCAGTGTGTTCATCCAGGTGCTTTTCATGTGACATTTGTGAGCCACGAATACAAAGTTGCCATTTGAATTTATTCAGGTTCAGCATGGTGTCAGCCAAAGCCTCTCAGGTGGGGAAGAAGCTGATTAGGACCCACTGCCAAAAGCAAGCAGACAGCATCACCTGACTGTCCTGTGCCCCCAGGCAGCATGCTAAGGGACAACTCTGTGGCCTGGGGGACATGTGTCACAGTATAGGATTGGCTGTTCAGGTGTTTTGTATCCATTTCTTTTCTGATGTTGTCCCCTTTTCTTTTGTACTGATCCAGCTGGGAATCCTCAGCCACTGCTGGAAGTGTGATTGAAGTACCTCTCTTTTGTGACTCTTGTACAGCTTAATGTGCAATAAAGGAAAAGTTATATCTGTCTTCAGTGTTAAGTTGTACAGTTTCTGGCTATTCAAGTATCTCTGTGTAAGTGGGAAAGCATGCAGGTTTCTGGTACAAGAAGCTGAGCTATCAACCCAAATTCTTTATAAGAAAACACTAACAATACAAATGATATTAAACTTGGGGAAAGACAAAAGCTAACTAACATAAAATAACCTGCTAATCTATAATTTTTACCAGTTGTTTGATTTGAACTGAGAACCTCTTATACATACAGAATTCCATGTATTTATGCATGCATTGATTTATGTGTAACTAACTCTGGTATTAATTGTTTATTGGTGTTAAAGGGTGGGGAAATGGGCTGCTAATAGGGGAAGCCTGGTGGCATAGACACATATTGTGCCTTTCCGAAGGGGACAGCTGTGCTGTGCCAGGATATCCCAAACTGTTGATCTGGTGAGCCCATTTCCGCCAGGAAGTTGCTGGATGTGGGCTCTGGAACTGAGGCTGAGAAACTGGGCACTGCAGATGCACTCTGCATCATTTGCACTAGTCAGTGTGCTCCTGGTGGTCTTTGGACTTCTGTGTGTGCAGACCCCATGGCTCAGCAGGTCTAAGAAGACTCTCACTTCACATACTGCCTGTCAATCCCCAGCGGGAGGACGGTCTTTCTGTCTTCATGCTACCAGATGATTTTGTGTCTTGTTCTGGGAGAGGAGGGTGCTGGTTTCTTCTTAGGAAGGCTCTTGGCCAGGTGGTGCCCACAGTGTCCTTGAAGGAGAATAAGGTTTGGCTGTCTGGAAAGTTTCACCACACACCTGACGTCATCATGATGGAGCCTCTGAAGATGTCCCTGAAAGGCAGAGAAGTGCCTGGAAAGGAAGGGTTGGTTCTGTCATGGGAGCTAAGGCTCTGGTGACACCCAGGTGGGATGGATGGTTCAGACACTGTGGGCATGCAGCTGGCAGAGACAGTGTAAGTTGTCAGTCACCACTGATGGTCAGAAAGCACAGGGTATTTTTAAAGAACTTTCTTGTCCATTATCATCTTTGAAACACTACTCTCTTAAATGATAACTAAGACCAGGGCTTAATTCTTTTAACGGTTTTATGGTTGCAAAAACCGAAGCCTAGAGAATCTTGGTGACTTGTTCGGGGAGTGTCTTGGTGTTTGCTTCCTGGTGTGGTGCTGTTCCCACAGCCTTTTCCTGCTTCTGATGTGTGGAACACAGGACTTGTGGCAGAGTGAGGTGGCTTGTACCCGAGGAGCCCTTGGGGAGGGGGTGGGTTCCTCTGTCCCCACTTCCTGTCTTCTGTGGTGACTCAGTCTCTTTGTCTCTGAGGAGGAGCAAGTGGTGATGTATAAGGACAGGGACTCCCTTCAGAGGACCTCAGAGTCTTGGGTGGCTTCTTGTTACAGAGCTTATCCTTTTCATAATTAACCACACCCTTGAGCAGTAGATTCTAAGGAAGCCTTTGATATGGTTAAATTATGAAGTTTCTCTTGTACCAAACTTAGGGGGCCCTGGGCAACCCCAAGGAATGCAGCCCCCAGGCAAGGTGCTGCCTCCACGCCGGCTCCCCCCAGGACCATCAGTGCCACCTTCCTCTTCCTCCTCTCCTTCTGCCTCCTCGGCTCCTCAGCGGCTGGGCGGCCCCACCGCCACCCACGATGATGCATCCTCCAGCAGCAGCTCACTGGCAGAGGCCCAGCCACCCCCGGCCGCGCCTCTGCAGAAGCCCCAGCCTCACCCACAGCTCAAGTAAGACTTTCAGCAGTGCCTCCCCACCCTTTCCTGCCCTCCTCCACTTGGGCTGAGCTGCTAGAAGCTCCTCCAGGCAGGCGTTCCGCCCCCTCCAGATACTTATGGTGGGTTTCTGCGGGTTGCTTTGTGTTTGCTTTTTGGGTTTTTGGTTTTTGGTTTTTTGGTGAGGAGAATGGTTGGGGCTGATCAGGGAGGGAGGAAAAGAGACACGGAAGTCTAAGTAAGGTATGGCAGAAACATGCACCCTCCCCTTTCTTCCTGGGAAGCGGCACCACTACAGGAGTTCAGCCAGCCTAGCGTAGGGTTTAGTTGTTGCTTTTTTTTTTTTTAACCCCATTACCCACTCTTTTTCCTTCCCTCTTCTGTTATGTGTGTTTCCCTCTTTCTAAAATTTAAATAATAGATTGTGTCCTGCTTTTGACTTACAAGTCAGGATACATAGTCATCAAGGCTGCCCAGGAGAAGGGGAAGTTGTTAGCTCCCTTTCAACTTTTACCGTCAGCACTGTGTGAAGGTGCTGTGGGCACTGAGCGGTGTTCAGTGCTCAGATAGAGGCCCAGGGAGCATCATTCTTTGGGCTCTCAGCTCTGAGTTCCCCTTGTTTTCTCCACAATGTCCTGTGCAGAAACATGCCAGGACCCCTGAGAGAGAGGGGAGGGCAGCATGTGGGTACAGACAGCTGTCGGTCCCACCTACTTGCTCCATACCAAGCAAGCCTCTGGCTGAGTTCAGGTGCTTTCATTTCAGCAGAGAGTGGTAGCCAGGGGAGTGACCCAAAGTGCTTCCAGTGTGAGGCAGTGAAAGAATCTTCATGGAGGAGGAGAGGTGTGGTGGGTGCTTAGGTTCAGAGGAGGCACTTAGACCATGTAGTCACTGCACAGATAATGATTCCATTCTTTTCTGTCTCAAAGCCTCTCCTCTGGTGAGCAGCAGACCCAAGATTGGGCTCAGCTATCCTGGTGGTCACTTGCTCTGGGTCTTCCAGTCCTAGAAGTGGGAGGAGCATTGCCTCCTTTGCTCCCCAGTTTGAGCCACGGCTCCTCTTATACCTTGCCTGCCCATCACTGCTCCCCTGACCACCACTTTCTGCAGGCTGACTCTTAGGCCTCACCTACCATCTCATGCCTTCTCACATAGGCCACCACTGGCCTGTGTGAAGGCAATTCTTTGGTTTGCTACTGCCTCGGAGCTGAAGCTGTTGGATTGAGCCAACCTCTGATGGCTCATGCATTGGAGGCTTACACCAGTACATGTGGGAGTCCTCCTCCCAGAGGCCAGCATGCTGGGGCTTGTCCCTAGCCACGGTAGAAGGCAGGGGCATCTGTTTTCAGTTACTGCAGGAGGAAAGCTTGCTATGGGTCCTGTAGAGGGCCTTTCCTAGGCTGCAGTCAGCACTAGGCGAGGGCTGGCAGACCCAAGAGTCCAGGAAAAGAGTGCTGGAGCCAGGTACTAGCAGAAAAACCCCTTGGGAGTGGAGAAGACAAGTCAGGCTGTTGGAGAAACCAGACACCTCCTAAAGTGCAGGTTTGGCCTCCCCGTGGCTCTCATCTTCAGTTTTTCTCTCTGAGTCACTCGCTAGTTTCAGAAGGGAAAAGTAGATCCCCCAAATGGGTGTGTTTTGGACTTCTTCATTAGAAATCTGTCTGATAGTCATGGCCTGATATGTGTCTCTTCAATCCTGCATACCCTGAACCCACAAATCTCACATTAAGTTCCTTCTGAGGAAGGCTGCAAAGGGGCTATGCCCACTCTAGAAATGAGGAAAGCAATGGGAGCATTGAGCTTTGAATGAGAGAAGGGAGAAGAATGAAGAGGACCGAGGAGGCCTAGAGATCATTGTGTAACCAAACATCTTCATGTCACACATGAAATCAGATTACAGAGAGGCACATGGCTTCAGGTCAGATGTGAGTTGAGGGGCAAAATCAATGCTGTGACAAGGGCCTTCTGGTGCTGAATCTACCCTATGACAGTGGATGGGAATGGGACTGCAAGAGACCCCAGGCGCTTAAGCTCTGCCTGTCACCAGAGGAGAGGGTGAGAAATCTTAGCTCAGTACTTGGGGCCTTTGAGCCCTTCAGCACTAAGTACAAGAAACAGGGCTGGGGTATGGCTCAGTGGGAAGCAATCGCGTAGCAGGCAAGAGACCCTGGGTGCCATCTCTGGCACTGCAAAAAGGAATAAAATAAAAATAAATGAAAGAAACAGCCTTTGAGTCATCCCTTCTTCCTTTCCTGTCTCTCTGTTTTCCCTTCTCCCTGGTTCCCACTGCGCTCCTGTCCTTCTCTGTTTAGTGGCCCTGAGGTCAGCAATGAGTGTAGGGGCAGTAGCATGCCACTCTCGCTTTCCCCTGTCACCCTGACCTCTGGGGGTGGGGGTGGGGCTCCAGGTTGTAGCCTCGTCTCCATCCTTGCCTCACTGAGAACACCACCCTCTCACATTCTCTTTGGTTTTTATCTTCAAGCAAGTCGCAGTCCCTGACAAATGCCTTCAGCTTCTCTGAGTCTTCCTTCTTCCGGTCTTCAGCCAATGAGGATGAAGCCAAAGCAGAGACCATCCGGAACTTGAGGAAGTCCTTTGTCAGCCTCTTTTCTGATTAGCACTTCAGATATTTGGGGCACCCAACCCAGCGAGGAAAGGCATCCAAGACAGTTACCAATAGCAATCAGCCATGCTTGGTGGCTATGTCCCCAACTTTGACGTGTGTGGCCCCTTTCTCTGCTCCGTTGTGCTCAGTGATGTTGTGCAGCCTAGAAAGGACCATGTCTGTGACAGTCTCAGGGCAAATGCCTCCCCAGAGAGGTACCTGACATCAGAGAGGAAAGAGCTTCTTCCCTGTAGTCATGAGAGCTCCTTCTGAAGTCGCCGTTGCTGTGAGTTTAGTGGCCTTATTGTGACAGCCGTCATGTCTTATTCTTCCCATGAAGCCAGGATCACTTGCACCAGAGACCCCTGGCAGCCTGACCTTGCTCTAACACAGTGTTCTCAGCATGCCCCCCATAGTCAGTGCTACCTGTGTGGAAGATGTACTCTCCTGGACACCCCGTTGTTGGCTTGAGGATGTTGGAACGTTCCCAAACCTGGATCTCAAGCACACTCACCCAGCTCGATGGTCTCTCAGCCACTGTGGAGATGGAGCACCTGGAGGCAGCTGATTCTCCTGAGAACAGTGGTCTGCAGGGTCCCCTTCCTCTTCTCTGGAGCATGGTTCCTTTGTGCGAGCTGCAGGAACTTGAACTCCAAGCTATGCTGTAGAGGAGAATGCATGCCGCTAAAACAACCATATGCCGATTTGATGTTCATCACCTAATAAACGTCAAGACCTTTGGTGTAATAAAAGCAGCCACATTAACCAGCATTCGATTCAGCCATGAGGTCTCCCCTGTTGCCTTTTAGGCTGAGAGTATCTATGAGGTGTGTGTGTGTGTGTGTGTGTGTGTGTGTGTGTGTGTGTATTTGCAAGTATGGGAATGACAGTCCAGGAGGGTGAAGCTGCTTGTGTTGATATGTGTGAGTGCTTGTAGGCTCATTAGTGTGTTCAGGGATGTGTATGCCATTCACATGATTCTCCTGTGCCTGTGGACACTGCCTGGGGGACCAAGCTCCTGGAGGGGATGAGCTCTCCTTGCTTCAGCACCTCAGCATTTCTACCTTGCTTACTAAATTTGTGACCTTTTGGCAAACATAGCACGCGTACTCCATGGTTAGCCAGGTTAGTCCTACTTTTCTGGTCTGTCAAGCTCGTTGGTTAGAGCCCAGGTGGAAGTACCACTGAAGACCTGAGGAATGGGGTCCCAGAGCCCAACTCTGGTTCCCTCAGAGGCCTGCTGCTGAAGGTGGGCCTGAGGGGCTGGACCTGGCATCTTCACACCGCCCCGATACTTTGGCAGTATGCTCCCAGAATAACACATGCTCTAAAGATAAGCACATCTGATAAAAGAAATCACAACTAAAGAAATAAAATATAGAAATAAAACATCTAAAGAACTAATAACTAAAGAAATAAAACATCTGATAAAAGAAGTCACAACTAAAGAAATAAAATATATTTGAAATAAAAAGTCAATGTGTTAACATCTAGCTAAATAGTTTCCATGAATTATTTTCATCCCACTAAGCCAACATGACAGCATTACTCCAAATGCTACTGTCTTGCTACCCCTCTTCACAAACAGTAAATCTAAGAGTCAAAGGAAAGGTTTTCTTTCCAAGTTACACTCAGCTCATGTTTTCAGGGTTCAAGCATGAAACATGTAAGACAGGAAATAGAACCTGCCATTCAGTGACCCCGATGGGGGATAGCCCTCTTTGTTTAGTATGTACAACTAGAGAACAGACCATCCAAATACTCAGGCTAGGCAATACTGAGGCTCAAGGTTCCAGCCATGAGGAGCAATGCTTCCTTCTGCCTCTGTATGTTCTGGTTGTCTGTGCTAGGGGTGGACCCCAGGCTTGTACCCACTAGGCCAGTGCTCTCCCTCCAAACTACATTCCTTAGCCAACACTTTTATTTAATGTTTTTGTATGCACACAGGAGTTTTCATGAGAAACATGAAGACTTGAAGAGGTTAGCAGGCCACAAATGTCAGTTTAAATATGATAAATTGTAATGTGACAAGGCAAAGGAGTCTGAGGGGAAGCCAATACATGGAGGGAAAGTAAGTAGGAGAGAGGTGTACACCTTCCTAAGTTGCTTTTTTGTTTTTCGTACAGATCCATTTCTGCGTCAGTTCCTTGTCTCCAGTGACTGATAAGAATGTTCAATTCTGGGCCAGGGAGATAGCTCAGTAGAATAAGTGCCTGCCTGGCAAGCGCAAGGTCCTGAGTTCAATCCCCAGTACTGAAAAAAAAAAGTTCAATTCCATCGAGGTGTGGTAGTGCTCACCTGCAGTCCCAGCCCTCTGGGAGGATAAGGCAGTAAGTTGTGAGCAACTTAGTGACTTATGGAGACCCCATCTCAAAAATAAAAGATGAGGGGACACTGGGGTTGTAGCTCAGTGCCAAGGCTCTGAGTTCAATCCCCATTACTAAAAAAATAACTGTTTCTTCTTATATGGGTTAGGGGGACACCTTCCACATGAGAAATGTTAGATCCTGCTTTAGCAGAAATAAGGAGGTTGGAGAACCATCCCCACTGTCCCTTCATGCTCATTCCCTTCTGCACAGAAGAGCTGGCATGCCAAAGTGGCATATTTTGTGCCTGGTCTGACCCTTTCACAGCCAAGAGCTTTTCACCCTTGTGCTTCCAACTCCCTGATTCTAGGCATGTGTTGACAGAATGCATTCGTTTAATCAAAAGTATTTATTAAGCACTAACTATGAGTATAGATAGGATGATGGATTCAAAGGAGTATTCTTAGCACTTCCTTTCTTAGCAGCTATTAACCAGGCTCTTTTCTAAGCACTTTAAATAGGCAACTTTTTTATTTTTACACAGTCCTATAGGATACACACTATTATTATTTTATACCTAAGGAAATGGAAGTGCATTGAAATGTGATAACTGCTTCCAGAGAACTGGAACTTAAACCCAAGCAGTTTAGCAGCAGAACCCATGGCCTTAGTTCCTTTGCCATGTCACTTGTTTATTTACTTATTATATATATTTAATGCAATTCCAATGAAAATACCATTAGCATACCTCACAGAACTAGAGAAAACATTTCTAAAATTCACCTGGAACAAGAAGAGACCTTGAATAGCAAAGGCAAATCCTGGATAACAAAAGCAAACCAGGAGGCATCACAATCTATCACTTGAAATTACACTACAAAGCTACTGTGATAAAATCAGCATGATAATGGCAAAAAAGAGAGACCTGGGGACAAGTGGAGTGGATTAGAAGATGTAGATACAACTATAAATACTCTAACCTTATCTATGTCACTTATTTAGTCTATCAAAGGCAATAATATAATTAATTTAAATTTTACATAATATGATCACAAAATGAGGTACAAAAACTTCACATCCATGCCCACCTCTTCTCTCCAACTTCTCTCTATCCCCTGGCCTAGGGTAGAGAGGGGCAGGAGAAGGTTAGGGAGCTTACTACCAATGTTGACCCCTTGTCCTAAAACCATGAGTAATATACCATATGTATCTTATTCTAATCAAATAGAATTCTTGTTCTTGAAAAATTACTCATTCTTCCACATGTGATGTCAGACCAAAAACCACAAGTAGCTTATTTAGAAATGAGTCAGTCTGGGGGAACTGCAGAGGTGACAAAGGCGGAGGCATTAACCACAAGTCATGAAGCACCCTAGTCTAAAGGCCACATGGACTCTACCTTATTAATGGGATGAGTCCCAGGGTGGGGGTGTTCCCTTCAGAGATAGGCCTCTCAACACTTTATCAGGATGGCCCCATAGACTGAGGAATGGGTACCTCATGCCAATCAATAAATATTAGCTGCATATGGTGATGATGAATGTTCCCAAGCCTTCATCTCCAAAGGCTGGTCACAGTCCTCTGTTGATTGTGTGGCCTTTGATCTCCAGGCCAGTTTTGACCACTATGCCAGTCACCTCCGCAGGGCTTTGGTTTTCCCTGCTCACATCCTTACCAGACTGATACATGACAGTCTCATCCTTGCCTTCATGCAACTCAGTATCCTCTTGATCAAGACAAAATAATTCTGTCTATTGAGTATGTGTTCACAGCTCTTTATTGTGTACTTACTAAATTCAGTAAATTTTGTGTGAGAAATATAAAAATGAGTAAAGCAAGGCTTCAGCCCTTTTAAGGTTTACAGCCCAGGATAGATAAGCAGATATCAGAAAAAAATATAACACCATCAGACAAATGGCCTGAAAATGTTAGATTGGGGTGGGAGGGAATTAAACGCCACAGTAATTGGAGGGATATGGGAAATGAAAGTGCCACATATTGCTTATGGGAGCCTGCATTGGTGCTACTGCTCCAGGGAGCAATTTGGCAACATGTAACACACAAATCTTGTGATTCAGCAACTCCACTGCTGGATGCTTACTCTAGAGAATTTCCTCACATATTCATAAGGAAGCAAATGAAAGAATATGGGCTGCAACATTGAAAAAACTGGGAATAACCAACTGTCTTTTATGAGGGAATTAGAACATATTGTAGTTTGTTCACAAACAGGAATACTACGTAGGAACTAAACAAAACTATGTGAGGAATTCAGATGAATTCAGATAAGATACGGAAGCAGAAAGAGTGCGGTGAGCTAGCCAAGCATACGTGTCTCCTTGGAGCACACTTGTAGCTTGGGGTCAGAAAAGGCTGTACCATATTGGAGAGCTATGACTGCTCACAGGATGGGAATACAGGTGGGGGAGGGGTGCAAAGCATTCAGCCTGTGCATTGCACAGCTGAGGTTACATCTAGTTGTGGTCCCTCATTTCACAGAGAAGGCCTACACATGGAATTTGCCAGGGCTAGGAAGGCTTGCAGAAGTGAGGCTTCATCCTATGCGTCCAAGGGCCTCACATGGTCTTTGAAAAAAATTTCATTCTAGGACTCTCCAAGCAGAAGGAATTCACAGGGGCCAGGAGGAAGTGGTAAGAGACAGCCTTGGGCAATGGAAAACCTGTATTTTGGTATCAAATCCCAGTTTAAATTCTGGTTCTAATTATTAGCTAATTGATTTTGACCTAAAAGTTTTTTTAGCACTTTTGCGTCTTAAATTCCTCATATATCAAATGAGAACAATACTGTCTTTTCTGCAAGTTTAAGATTTAAATGAACTACCCATATCTATCACCATGCACTACAGTCAAAATGAATAAACAAAAATGGATCAAAGATTTAAATATTAAAATAGAAACACTAAATCTACTAGTGGGGAAAGTAGGTAAAAATCTTGAAGACATGGAGGTAGGTAGAGAGTTCATGAACAAAAACCAAATTGAACTGGATACTTCAAAGAATCAATAACTGGGATCTTGTCATTTTGAAAAGATTCTGCATGTCAAAAGAAATCACAAGAGGATAAAAAGAAAACCCATAAACTGGGAAAAAACATTGGCTGACTGTCCCTGAGACAAAGGACTTCTATCCAGAACATACAAATACTTTTAAAAAAATCAGGCCCCCAAAATTCAAAAACTCATTAAAAGAAATGGGCATCTGAGATGAATACATATTTCTCAGAGGAAGAAATGCAAATGGCAAATACATATATGAAAAAATATTCAACATCATTGGTCATTCAAGAAATGCAAATTAAAACAACACTGAGGTTTTATCTCACCCTAGAAAGAATGGCTAAGATGAAAAAAAAAATAACAAATGTTGCAGGGGATGTCCCCATATGGGGAAAAAGAAATCTTTCTCCACTGTTGGTAGGAGTGTAGATTGTTACAATTGGTACAATTATCATGGAAATCAGTGTGAAGATTCCTCAGAAAACTAGGATTACAGGTCCCATTCAAG